CAGCTGCCTGCAGATGGACTACAGCTTGTTCATTGTCGAAACGCACCAGTGAAAGGGACTCTAAGTGTGATAGGAGCTCTTGTGAGAATGTAGGCAATAATTTTGATGAAACAGGATCAACCTGAAAATATTAACAGCTTGGAAGTCTCGTTGCATCACGAAAAGCGTGTCATTTTTCTTGGATTTGATTATGTTGCTTGAGATATGCTACTGCAATGGCTTACGAGTATGCTACTACAATCGCTTAAGAGTTTGGCGCAGTGTTTGAGTTAATACATCTCAGTTGTCATGTTGCGCAATCCAGCTATCAGTGCATTCGAAGATAGCCTGTGGGTATTTTAAGCTGTGCCATATGTTCTGCGTGTTTGAAGGTTTAGAAGCAACCTTTTCTCAGCTTCACCAATCTTACCAAGGTGTAATGAAACGTAGATTATGATGAGTATAATTCTCATAGGCACTCTCATTCAATCACACCCTTGACTGCAAAAGGGTATTTTGAGGTACTGCAATCTCCAGACCACTTTCTGCTCTTTTTCTTCTCCTTTGTCTCCAGAAAAGAAAAATGCCGCAGGGCATGGAGAAATTCGGGAATTTATGGAGAACGCCTCAACCTCTAAAAAGTTTCGCCAAGTCAACGATGCACCTTAAGGTGTGCGCCCTACGTGGGCCGCATCCTGCACGACTCCAGAAATTTGAGCACTCGTGACGTCTAATAAACATTAAGCTGCTCAGCCTCAATCACAAGATCCCTGCGTCAGCTGGGATAGATAAAAAAGCGCAGCATTTCTGTTCCACATAAAATGAACGAGAATTTGACTGAGCGGACTGCATAGAAAAAATCTTGTTTGAAACGAGAGGCATTATTGAAGAGTCAAATATAGATCTACTACAAAAAGAGTCGAAAATTGTCTTGTTTGGATATCGAGCAGGACGCACCGACGGTTAAGGATGGGATGTACTTAAGAAAAGTTATCGTATAACGAATGGAATCGGAGTGGAGGTGAA